GGGGATGAAGGGGGATTATGGACTCTGAGAAACAAACTGAGGGTTCTAGAGGGGAGGGGGAATCTACTTTCTGGCTTCACACTGAGGCTGGCCCCAAATGCTTACGTCATGGGTTGTTGGACTCCCAAGCAGATCTTCCTTCAGTCACCCAGCCAGGAAGAGGGGCTTTGCCACAGTATCCTGAATCCTCCCCTCTTCCTTCTGCCTCTTGCCTCAACTCCTTTTAATTCCTTGAGAATTAAACCCTCTAGGAGGGTTAACCTGGTGTTGGGTATTAAGGAAGGCACATACTGAATGGAGCACTGGGTGTTATACACAAACAATGAATCATGGAACACTACATCAAAAACTAATGATATAATGCATGGTGATTAACATAACATAATAAAGTAAAATTAAGAAAATTTTCCTCTATGTTGATGATGGTGCTAGTTCCAGGAATGTGTGTATTCTTTAGGACTTCCAGATTTGGTCACCAAAAAGGGTGAATTTTAATGTATGTCAATTATATTATGATCTTTTTCTTAAAAAAAAAAAAAAGAGTTAAAGTAAAATGCACTACCCACTATCTGGGCTTAGCCTGCTCTTCCTGGCACTTGTGGTCCTAATGGCCAGAACATTCCAGGCTCATAGAGTTTAATTATTTTGGCCCCTAATCAGTGATCAGACACCACTTAGATCCTTAGGAGTTTAGGTTCTTCTTTCTCCCCACAGAGAAAGAGGAAGATGAGCAAACATGCATATATTTTTCTGATGGAGAGTTCCCCCAAGTCTCTGCACTTTAGGGGATGATGCCACCTTTCCTCAGATGCAGGGGGGCAGCTGACCCTGTTTCTGAGTGGGGGGGGATCTCCCATGTGTGGCAGGGCTAAGAAACTCAGTCACAGCAGAGTCTGCGACTCTCCTGGGGAGCATTTAGGTGTCCACCCCAACCAGCCTCCTCACACTGCCCCAATGAGGTAGATGGTTGACAAAGTTTAGAGATTTGCCCAGAGTCGCCCATCAAGAGTCTGGACAGCTGGGGCTGCTAATCATTTTCCACTGATGATTCCTTTCTCTTTTGCAGGTTCCTCTTTGGTGTTGCTACACTTGGGGGCCCCATGGGGCGGTTGAGGGTGAGGGTACGGGTAGTGCCGCCTTTCTCACAGCCCCAGGGGCTGCCTGGGCTGGAGCTAATTTTCTCTTTCTCTTTTGGGCCCTGAGAAAGAAAGCAGGGCACTTCGGGGTATATTCTCTCCTTCTCTGTGGCCTCCCCGGGAGCACAATGGAGGAGATCTCTGCACCCCTATGCCTTAATGGGCTTTGTGAGCAGGGGGAAGAGAACTTGGAGGCAGGATTTTATGGCTCCTGAGGGGCTGCTTCTCACCCTCGGCAAACATCTCTCTCCTTAAGGATCCCCCAAATCCCCCCAGGACACTCCCTCAAGGGTGGACAGCGTCTCTTCCAAATGACTGCACTTTGCCTGGAAAGAGTACTTTCCACTTTCTGCACACCTCAGATTTGCTCTCAAGACAATTGAGATCTCAACATAATCATTTGTTTTCATCCACCGATGCATCCACTTATTTATTGGCACAAGTGCTCTCATTTATTGGACAACTGCTCTGTGCCCAAACCTGTGCTAACTCACCTCATCTAATGCTCATGGAAACCCTGTGGTGTGACACTTGCTAGCACCCCACTTTACAACCTTACAGGGGCTGCATGGTGCCCATGGTCATGTGACCACCCTGTGTCAGGCTGGGATTCAAATCCAGGTGTATGTGACACCCACACCCCTTGTTAGCCCTGCTGAATGCTTACAAGGGAAACTGTCCAGGTGTCTGCCCATGGAGACATGTGAATAAGCCTAGAAGTGGCTGTTATATTCCCAAACAATTTTAGTACAGAAACTGAATACCAGTGTGTCTTGTTAAAACTCTTTGAGTGGCATGCTTTCTTCTGGTATAGAATTCACTCTTGATAACCTGACCTGGAAACTCCTCTCCCTTCCACTCTTACCTCTCCATTCTATCTCTCCAGCTCCATCTTGGCCACCCTCCCTCTTGTTCACCATGCTTCATGCCCTCTGCCAAGACTCTTCCCTGCACAGGGCCTTTGCACGCACTGTTCCTGCACCCACACTGCTTTCTTCTCCACTCTGAATTTGACTAACCCCTGTTCCTCCTTCATGTCTAGTGTTGAGTCAGCTCATCAAAGACACCTTCTTTACTCCTGCAACCTAAATCTCACTGCCCTGTTGTGCTGAGCTTCTCCTCCCCAGCTCCTACTGTTGTTTCTAAGTTAAATACAGTTTGGGGGCAATTATTTGTTTCATATCTGTCTCTCCCACCAGAGTGTAAGCTTCTCAAGGTAGGGGATTGTTACCATGCCTATCACCAAACCAGGAACAGAGTACAATCTCAATAAATACTTGCCAAACCAGTCCAACAAAAGGGGCTAGATCTGAGGAAGGGACAGATGCCATTTAACTCATAAAATCAAATTCTGGCTTATACACAAGTATGACCTTGACCTTCTTCCCCAGGCTCTGCAAGCTTTGGGATGTCATCAGCAAACACGTACCACTTGCTGAGATTTGAAATTCTCCCTCAGACCTGGATATCCAATAATATGAACAGAAAGCGAGACTGTACAAATTAATCCACAGCCCCTGTTTCATAAGGTTTACTCTGATTCTAAATGCTGGGCGATGATTCCTATGGCTGACTGATTTGTTTATGTGATTCTGACATCTTTCTCAGAGTGGGGCTGTGGTTTCCCCGTTGTTCAGAGAATCTCAAGTTCAGAGGAGGCCTATAAGCAGGGATGCTAATCTCCCACAGGACAAGGAATGAGGAGGATGGGGAGGGACTGGGCCCCCACCCCACCAGTGCCCTGGGGTCCAAGATGACCCAGTAAGGGTTTTTGACTCTGAGTCTTAAAAGTGTGTTTTGGTCTTCTTATATTCCTTAAGAAAATCCCCCTCCTTTGGATGGAGAAACCCTAAAGCAATGAGCCCTCGTTAGTCATTTTGCTAGCTACTTGGAAGCAGACCCTTTTGAAAAATGAAGTCCAGTAGTAAGGACAAACCTGTAAGGTACTGCCCTCTCCTCTAGACCCCCAGCACAATTCATGTGTACCTGCTTTACCTACGCACATCAAGTTTTTCCTTCACATGTACCTACTACTGACTTTGGTTTTCTGCTAGTCTGCTAAACTCCTAAAGGCAACATAGCTCAACTTGTGATCCTGGAAGGACGCTATGCATAGTAGCCACCCCTGCACACACCCCAAAGCTGTCAGCTTCATCCAGGATGGATGTGGAAATCTCCAACTTCATCTTTGCAACAGTAACTATGCAGATTGAAGCTAAGAAATTCAGCATTATCCAGATGTATAAAAATGTTTGAATATTTGATCAAACTCAATTGTCTTCCAACTTCTGCTTTATGAAAAATTTCAGAGCACTGTATATAAAATTCAGGCAGTGCCACCCTCTGAGGAAAAGGGGACCAGGAAATATGTGTCTTACAAAGACAGTACTTCTAATCTCCAACAGAAATAAGAATGATTTAATACTGCATGAGACCTTGGTATGTGGAAATGATTGTTTGAATTTGAGCCACAGACTAAGACCCCTCGTGACTGTTGTGTTTGGATATCTCAGAGGGCAGATAATGCCAAACCATTCACAGGAAGGACACACAGCTGGGATTCTAGAAATGCCCCCAAGAAGAACTGTTTCTTTGACTCATCCCAACAAATAATCCTATAATGTCTTTCAAAACACATAGACACAAGTCCTATGTATGAAGTTGTTATGGTTACAGAAGGAAACATAAATATTTGTGCACACAGACATTACATGAAGTCCTTCTACAGTGAAGACAATTTCCTCTGGAAAGATCTTTGAAAGTCAGAGATGATGCCACGAGCAGATGGAGCTAGCAACGGGGCATGGAGCATCCTTTCAAGGTGTCTCCCCAAATTTCATTGTTTGTGAGCCCTGTTTAATGACATAAAATGAGGGGGCTGGGGGAGGGTAGGTGAACAGACACAAAACCCAAGAGCACTCTGTTATTTGTTTATTTTCTACATGTGATGTCATAAGCAAGAGTTTTGCCTGTGTTCTAGTTTATCTCCAATAAATAAATAACTATGTACAAATGTGCTGAGTTTACAAAATAGAGGAAAACGTTTGTTTTACAAAAGATACACTTGTATGATACATTTTCCCATACAGTGAAATACGATTCATTCCTAGCTTAGTTGAACCAACAACCCTGTGTAGCAATGTCCAAAGGTGTGTACCTAGTCTTTTCTATCAGAAAGCAAAGCTATAAATTGAAAATTCCTCAGTTTCTTGAGAATATAGGCCTGGACTTGGCCTGCTGCTTATAACTGATCCATATTTAATGTATTCCAGAAAGTTGGAAGCTGTTTGAAACAGTTCTTCTCAAGCTATACTGGGCAGACCCCTGCAGATCTTGTTAAAATATAGATTCTTGTGCAGCCGGAGTTTCTGCATTTCTAACCGGCTGCCAGGGGCAGCTCCCACTTCTTGTGCAGGGACCATGTTCTAAGTGGCCAGGGTTGGAGGGTCCCTCTGAAGAGGGAGAAATTCCCATTGGTCTGATCAAGGTGAGGCCCTAATTGGGCATCCTCCAGGCTTCATCCCCAAGTTCCCAAATCCCCCAAGACCCAGCAGAACTGGTTTTATTTTGGAGCACACATTACAAGAAGAGTAAGATTCAAAATGGTAACTGGCATGAATTGTGCAGCTCAGAACTTTCTTAAACTGTCCCCTGGGAGGAACTTCATTCCTGTCTCAATCTAGAGCAATCATGAGAACATTTTCAACATTATCAAAAATAACCAGTTATAACAACAACAATAATTATAATAATGGGAAAAAGAAACTGGCAGAAGAAGCTTAACAACAATAAAGATCTTTCAGTTCAAACGAAAATGACAACAATAAAACCCAGGCTCATTGTTTAAAAAATAGAAATAAAAAACTCCTTGGGTTGAATTTCTATGACAGTCCAGCAACATTAGTTCAATGAATGCCTCTCACATCTTAACTTTTGTTAAAATGCTATTACTCTGGAAGCCTGAAATTTCAGGATAAATTAGCAAGCCTGGTTCAAGAGCAAATAAATTCCCAACCAACCTTGATTGTAGTGTTTTTGATTCTATTTCACATAAGAGCTTTGCCCAGGCAGACATGGAAGAACAGAAGGAGGGTGGCCAGGTAGGGACATTCCAGGTGGGTTGGCTGAGCTCCAAGGAGGGGAAAATTGGGAGGAACAACGAAGGAAACTGGGGCCTGGCTTCAGCAACGTGAGAGTGCTGGGAAAACCACCAAGATGGTTTAACTGCCACCTGAAGAGTAGAAATATATAAATATACAGATAGGGAAGGGGGAGGGAGGGAGGGATACAAAGTGGGTACTGGAGACATACAGGTGGGGGAGGAAGCAAAAGCAAAGAAAAAAAAAGCCATCCTAAATACTTAAAAAATAAATATCTTGGTCATTATCCACACCTTGATTACACTCACTAGTCCACGGGATCAAAAGTCTGACCCAAAGGCTGCCAGCCAAGGAGGCCCACCCCTCTCGTGCCCCTTGGTGAGGTCATGGGACACTCTGTAGTCTGTGTCTTCGCTATAAATTGTCATCTCTGCCTAGTTGTCCGATGATGTCATGGAAGTGGCTGGGGCGCATACTCCTTCCAACCCCCACTCCCCAGCCAAGTGTGGAATCAGCAAAAGAAGGGCAACCTGATCTTCTCCAGTTCTGATGCCAGCTAAAGTGCTTTGGAATAGGTGGCCAGGGAGTAAGGTTGGGGGAGGGGGAGAGGCAGGAGGGAGGGAAGGCCCAGCCAACAGCAGGGGCCAGGGAGGAGGCCTCTCAGAGTTTCTGAGGCATCTGCTCGGTTCGCACGTGCTGCAGCACCACCTCCTTGGCTGGGGCGCCACACTTGTACTCCAACTCCGCCCTGGTGGCGCCTTGCTTCTTGCGCAGGTGACACAGGAGCGCCAAAAGCGCCACGACCAGAGACAGGCTGGCGATGGAGATGCCGATGAGCACTCCAGAATGCAAGGGCCCTACAGGTGGGGGGCTCGAGGTGGCGCCCGGAGTCGGGGTGACTGGGGGTTCCCCAGAGCCGCTGTCGCCGTCACTGTTCACCTTGGTGGGGTCACAGTCGGTGACATCCTGGCCGGCGAAGGGCGAATCAGGCCCGTAGATGCACTCGTAGGTGCCTGGGAGGTTGCGGCAGGCCTCGGGGCAGTCTCCATTTTCGCACTCGTCGATGTCCGTGCATATGAAGCCGTCGTCTAGAATGTAGCCCTCGGGGCACTGGCAGGAAGTTGGGCTGTTGGGATCGCAGTCAGCTGGGCATGCAGTCTGGTTGCAGAACATCTGGCACCTGTGTGGGTCGTGAGGGCTGGGTGCGAAGCCCTCGGCGCAGATGCAGCGGAAGTCAGTTTGACCCACGGGCTGGCACTGGTACTCGCACTTACTCCCGAAGCACGGGTCCACTGACTCCACGCACTCATTGTCTACCAGCTCGAAGCCAGAGTTGCAGAGGCATTCGAAGGCGCCCCGCGTATTAACACATCGCTGCGGGCACGGACTGGGCACCTGGATACAGTCGTCCACGTCCTCGCACCGGTGCTGGTCGGCAGCCAACCGGTAGCCCGTCTCACACATGCACGAGTAGGAGCCGGGCACGTAGCTGTTGGGAATGCAAAAATGCTCGCAGAGTTTGTGGCACAAGTGATCCGCTAATGCGGCGCAGGAGCGCCCGTCTGCCTGCAGGTAGGCGTCCGCGGGGCAGAGGCAGTGCGACTTCTCGGCGCTAGCGTTGCAAGTGTGCTGGCAGCCGCCGTTCTCCACGCTGCAGTCCCAGGCGCCAGGCGCATCCCGGCCCCAACGCGCCTCGGCCTCTCCTGGCGGCGCCGCGCACTCCAGCTCCACTCCCAAGGGCGCTACAGCGGCGGAGCTACCCACCGGCAGCGCCTGGAAGTCCGCGCCGCGGGCCCCGAACGGGGTGCTATAGGTGATGGTTACACCGGCGGCCGCCACGGCGCCAGACTCCACCAGCAGGGGTCTGCAGGAGGCTGCGAAGTGGAACTCGCAGAGGAAACCATCGGCCTCTGCAGTGCACTGCTGCTCCTCCCAGGCCGGCTCGCCGGGTGCTAGGGCCCCGGCTTCCGAGACTGCGACGCACAGGGGACCGCAGAGAGGCGCCGGGTCGACGTGGAGCCGCGCCCACCTGCTGTAGCTGGTGCGGTCGTCGCCGGTAACCCACTGGAAACCGCGCAAGGGCCCGAGTTGCCCCTGGTCGCTGCAGCCGGCCTGGAGCTGCAGGCCGATCCAGAGGCGCGGGCTGTCGCCGCTGTCGCCGCTCAGGAGCAGGGAGATGACATCAGCCGCCACTGAGGAGCGCACGGTCATCAGGTGGCCCCCCAACCCCTCGCAGGCCTGGCTGGCGGCGAGGAAGGTCGCGGGGCCCCGGAAGAGCTCGAAGCAGTCGTGCTCGACGCACTGGCTGCCGCGTGGCTGAGGCTCTGGGGGCGCAGGGAGCCCCAGACCGGCGGGGGCCAGCACGCCGAGGAGCAGGACCCGGAGCATGCTGTCCCGGCACGCCGCGTGCAGGCGCGGGGAAGAGCGCAAGCGCCGCGACGGGGCCCAAGCCGGGCGGGGGCTGAGAGGCGCAGGGCGCCGCTGGCGACAGCCGTTTGCGTTGGTCCCAGCCCAGACGTGTCCAGCCGCGGCGCGCAGCCCTGGCGAACCAGCATCTGACATGCCGGCGGGCCCGGGCCCTGGTTTATAAGTGCGCGGCCCTCCCTCCTGGACGTTCGGGAAAAGGAAGGAAGTGCCTGGTGGGAAGGGCTGATGCTGCATTCTCGGATTACTGGGTTCTCCGGACGCCTTGTGCCCGCCCTCGCGCCTGGGATCACCTCGCCGGGATGAGTAAACCCAGCCGGGGCGCTGGGAGGTCCCCGGGCGGGACCGCCAGGCGCAGGCGCCGCGGGAGGACAGCACCTCTATCAGCAAGACACAGTGTCCGCCCCCGCCACTAGGGCCCTCAGGCTCGCAGTCGTAAAAGGGGCTTAATCCGCAGCCCCTCCTAATCTCTCGGTCCTCTTTCTTTTTCTTATAAATGTATTGTTACCACCGATTTCAAGGGAAGTCTTGATTGCAGAACTCTAGGAAGTAGAGACGAGAGAGGAGGGCTTTAAATGGGGGGTGGGGAGGTGGTGCCCAGGACCTGCCGGGCTCTAGGGGGAGGTGCCCGCCAAGAAGAGGATTTGGGGAGGGGCTGCCAAGGGCGTGGACTTCCCCAAAGAAGCAGTAGCGAGTAGAGAACTGGACCCCGCCCTGGGCCCCGGCGCCTAGAGCGGGAGACCTGGGTGCGCTCGGCCCCAGAGGACAGAGGGTGTGGCTGGCGCGAGGATGGGGGGAGGGGGAAGAACTGGCCTAATACTGGCGCCCTCCGCGCACAAGCAAGGACCCACGGGTCCCTGAGCAGGAGCTGTCTGGCCAGACGTCATCTCGTCGCGTGGGAAAGTCTCGAGGACACTGTCAGGGCTCCAAGTCTTGTCACCCTTCAGAAGCAGCGGCAGGCGAATTCCTGCCGAGCCCTGTTGGGGCAGGCGTGGTGGGGAGCGCCCTAGCCTGTTTGGTCTGTTTTTGTCCAGCTTCACAGAGGGACAGTCCATCTCACACCCCAAAAGGGGAGCACGGGAGCCCTCGCGGGCTCCAAGCGAATCCGGCTCGGGACAGTTAAGGAGTTTTGAATTTGGCTGAGAGATCAGAGTGATAGAAAGGTGCACATAAATGCCACTCGCGTTGCAGAAGGGCGGTCCTGCGGATGGACGGGGTGGGGAGGAGGAGGGAATCTGTCACTTTCCCGACCTTTTCCGCTTATTCACTTACCAAGAATGTTGGGGGGGGGTCCAAAACATAAGGGAGGGACAAACTTTTTTTTTTTTTTTAAACCCTGTGCCACCTCTCAGCTACGGTCACTCACAACCAAACACCAGAGGGCGGCGCTGTTGAACTCTAAACAAAACCCCAAAAGCTGGAGATCTCTAAATTTGGGCTGAAAAGTGTAATGGGTGTGAGGAATGCTGTGGCCTCGCCCAGGGGCAAGAAACTTCGTTCCAGGGAAGCCCGACGCGGATTCCACCGCTTAGCTGGGTGTCTTGCCTCTTTGGTTCAGCAGAGCCCAGACCTTGTAAGAGAGCAAGGCAGTGTGACGTCTTCACAAGCGAAAGACAAGCACCTGCCCACCCACCTCTCCCCCGGATTGTACTGACCGATAGTGACCTAGTGACCGAAGGGGTGGGGTGTGGGCACTCCGAGAGTGAAAGGGAGGAGGCACAGAGGTCCTTTCCTGCACTCCCCCTCGTCCCATCCCAGGGTGGAGCGTGAGAGCTCAGACAAGCAGTGACTCCTGAAAGCTAGGTGGGGGAGCGCAGCGTGGAGACTGAGGTCTGAAGCACCCTGGAATGGGTGCCTCTGCACCTCTCGGAAGAGGAAGCACCTGGAAAGACCAGCAGATTTGGAGGCGGGTTGTCCGCTGGTGGAAGCAGGCGGATGCTGGTCTGACGTCCCACCAGCTGCCTGCGCTGAGCCCAGGTCTTGACTCACATGCACAGGGGGCCCAAGGAGGTTGGAGCTGGAGCAGTGCGGCCTCAGGTGCAGCCGGCCCTGGGGGTGGGGCCTTCACATCTGGGCGGACCTCTTTGGCCTTTCCCAGGCCATAGATTGCCCCTGAAAGATCTCAGAAAGTGAGAGCAATTGCCTGTATGCATGAGGCAAGAGAGGTGACAGGACCTGTTACGCCCTTTGCTCAAACTTCACCAAAATTTTCAAGCCTGCCAGCCCTCAAAGGAGTTGAGGGATATTCAAGAATCAAGTCTTGCTGCACACCAGGCTGGTTCACTTCTTTTGTGGGTTCTAGATGATTCACCATGGCGGGGTGTCCTATTTGGGTCTCCTTGAGCCATTGCTTTGAGGCTTTTTTGCATGTTTTAAACTACCTCCCTTCCTCTCTGGACCTCCTGTTTAGGGGGATTGACCCCTGTCTCTGTCTCCATGGGGATGGCACTAACAGCTCCTTTGCCATGGCTGGCCCCTGGTCCTGCCACCCTCACTGAGGGCTCACCAGCTCAGGCCCATTTTGCTGTTTCATTGGAACAGTTCCCTTGAAAAATGCCCATCATGTCCTAAATAATGAAGCCAAAAACTTATTTTCGGTCTTTATTTTTCTCGATGTTTCTATGTTGTTTGCATTCTTGATCTCTGGCTATTTCAAATCTCTTCCTCCCATAACTTCTGAGACACCTGCCCTCCTGCTCCTCCTCTCCTCTACCTGCCAGCAGGTAGCCCCTCTGCCCTTCTTGCCCCATGAGGGTGGCCAGGCCTCACAGTCTGCCCATGGCCTTCCCTTCTTTATTACAGCCCACCCTTTGTCAAATTCACTCGTTCCTACAGATGCTGAAGGTCCCAGCAAGAGGAGCCCCTGCTGACTGTCAGAGAAATGCCTCACTGTGTTTCACCTGCATCCCAAGGCTCCTGTCTTTTTGTCTACAAGGAAAGTTCTCTCTTTGCCTCTTCTCCATCTACCGAAGTCTGACCCTTCCTTTAAGGTGCATGTGACACACTGCCCCATCACAAGTGTTTCTGAGTAACCAAACCAGAACAGATCTCTCTGTGAAGTTCGAGGACTTTCTATCAGCAGTTTAGCATTTACCACACCTCCTTTGATTTACAAGTCATCGTGTACTTTTCAATCATGCTCTTTCCTAGACTTACAATCTAGTTTCCTGGGGTTGGAGCATAACCCTTAGACACCTTTGTATCCCCATCCAGCCTACAGCATGTTTTGTTTGCAGGCAGTGCTAAGGAGTTTGAACACCTCTTGGAGGTGTTCCTTCATGCCATGGTTCCGGAATGACTTTCTCATGGTAATGTGCAAACACAAGGATGGGGGACCTCAGAGCCTTGGGGTTAGGAGATGGGGCTTTGCAGCCAGCTTGGCTGGTTTTGAGCCCCCAGCTCCATCGTTTATAAGTCGTGTCACATTTGGCAAGTAATTCAGCCTCTCTGTGCCTTAGTCTCCTCAACTGTGTAATGAGGAACCCTAATAGTCACTGCTACAAAGTGTTACTATGAGGACTGTGTGAGGTATACATGTAAAGCATTTAGAATGGCTGAGCCATGGTAAACTTTCAACAGATTTTAGCTAGAAAAAGATATACTCGTGTTTTTAGAATTTTAATTCAGCCACTGATTGTGTTCAACACCCAGCATGGTTCCTGACCATAGCAGAGACTCACTAAATGTCTGTTGGGTGAAATTCAGTTCAGCTGAGCATTTTTACCAATAATAACAATAAGCAATCGTGTAAAAAAAATCAAGGACAAAAATAAGTTCACGGGCTAGGAGGAATAGGGAAGGAATTGAAGATAACCCAGGAAGCAAGCCCTGGGCCTCTGTACACCTGGAGGGCTTTCATAAAGCCTCAGGTTAACTCCCTGTCTGCTCTGGAGGTATCCACTGTTAATTCCTCTTTTTCCAGATGTGGAAACTGAAGTTCAGGGAAAATAAGTGACTTCCCAAGGCCACACAGCTAGTCAGTGGTGAAACTAAGATTCTCCAGCTCACTTTAGGTTGAGAGAATTAGAATGTGCAATACACCAGAGCCCTGATTTCGCCATTTACCTGTTGCTAGAGTTTAGCTAAGTTACTTAAATCTCTGGTTTTCTTCTCCAAAATTGGAGATATGATATCTAATTTATAAGGTTGTTGTGGAAATTAGAAAATTTACACACAGGGACTGTTAACCTTTCTTGTAACACGGCAGCTACTCAACAAATACAGTGTTACTATTGGTGAATGTTGTGAAGACAGAAATGAAGAGGAGTCCAGATGCAGAAGGAGGCTCCAGGGAAATGTGCTGCCCCAGACATACCTTCGTCAAAGATCTTTTTCAAGTGTAGGAGGCAGCTTTCTTTTTAAAAGACTTAAAAAGAACTTTCTAGTTCCAACATGAACACTTGCTGAAAAACCATCTATCAGAATGCACAGTTCCAGGTGCTAAGGACATGGAGAATGTGGCAAAAAATGAGTGACTACTAATTTTTGCTGGCGAAGAAAGTTCCAGGCCCCTTGGATGGAAACTGCTTTTGGAAGCACATGGGAATGAGGGGGATGAAAGCTGCATACACTGTCCAATATGATAGGGACTAATCTCCTGTATTTAAACTTAAACTCATTAAAATTAAAGTTAAAAATTCATTTCCTCAGTCTCATTAGTGACGTGTCAAGTGCACAGTAGTGAATGTCTACCAGATTGGACAGTATGAAGAGAGAACATTTGATCATTAGCAAAATTCCTATTAGATGGTGCTGGTCTACACAGATAGTCAGACAATGTCACCTCAAGGAAGCCGTTGGTGGGGGCACATGAGTGTCCCCTTCTTAAATTCAAAGGATATTGTTTCACAACAATTATTTTCAAGGTAATGGTTATCAAAAGTGCAGTCAGAATCTATAAGGGAAACACTAAAGGGAGTGTTAAAATTATATGGCCATTATTAGTACTTGACTAATAAATACATCAATATTATTTTTAACCTTGATTTTCATTATAATCATTTA